AAACCTACATATGAAAGAATGGATCTGTGTGGTCATTGTGCACAGTATAAAAAAAATCCTGCAGCACACAGTGCATGAGAAAAAAAAACTCCGACCCTGTTTTTTGTTTAAAACAGCGGCTTTGCAGTGTATTTTCGTATGCTATTTATGGTTGTATTGTAGTTTTCCTGGTGTGAAGGCTTACTCAGCTCTGTAATAACTTCAGACAGTATTACCAAAGCTGGCTCCTCCTCAGGAAAATTAATGAATAGAAAACGAAATAATAATTAACAAAGATAAACACTTTATTATTTATTAAAGCAAACATAAGACAATAAAACATGACAGGTACATCCTATTTGAAAGAAAAATGAAAAATGAAATGAATAAAATAACATTTGAACTTAACGCTAATATATATATTGGGGTGTCTGGTGTTGGTGACACTTCGTGTTGTTGAAATCTTAGCCGTTGCTGATGGGGGATGGGGGGGGGTTGCAGGTGTTGGTGACCAGCGGCTAGTTCTTCACAGAGTATCGCCGTGAGTATTCTATCCCGATGACAGGAAAGCAGGTTTTTTACGGCTGCAATGATGTGGGGTTACGTCCTGCAATTTCATACAGGTGCAGAGGTAATTAAATCCAAAATGGGGACGTCTCAGAACATTAGTCCTTCTCCATTAGTTCTTCTCGTTGATTGACAGGTGACTCTCTCTGTCATCTAAGAGTAGTGTTGGGAGCTGTGAGTCGAGTGATTTACTGTTTGACCAGAGCCCCACACGTCACCTTTCGGGGGGGGGGGGAGAAGGAAGGGAAGGGATAGCGGGAGCTAGACTGACCCTACCTGAACAAGCAGCCGGCAATCAAACTATCACTTTAGGGGTGGGGGAGGAAAAGACGGGAAAAAGCGGGAAAGCTGGACTTACCCTACCTAAACAAGTAGCCGGCAATGAAACTATTGTTACTATATACTCCCTCGCTACTCCTATCTATTGAACTTTTCCCTCACACTCCCCCATACCAAGACTATAGTCAAGGAGTATAAGAAGAATAGGCGAGGAAAAAGTTGTAACATATGGAAAGTCGCGTAAGGCAAGAATCTTCTATGACTGTCATGACTTAACCAGTCAGAGAAATAATTTGGGTGAACCATTGATATACACAATATGGAACTTGAAGCCTGGAGTGCCAATGTCCACCTAAGTGGCGACTGTTGGTCCCTTAAAAAGTTTTCTAGGTATATCAAAGGTTAGTGGTCCGTTTCTAATATGAATTCTTTTCCCAGCAATAATAATATTTAAGTTAGGAGATTCCCACACAAGGGCCAAACATTCCTTTTTATGGAGGAGTATCTCGTTTCTGCGGGAGAAGGAGTGAGTTTCCGGTTAGGAAGCATTTACAGGGAAAGGAGTACATCATGGTATTGTAGTAGCACCGCTACTAATGCCAGTATTGGAGAGGCTATCAGTTCCTTAAACAAAATGTTTTATTAAATATCTGGAATCTTAAGTATGGGTCTTTCAAAAAGTGCTTTGAACCCTTTGACTGTTTCAGGGCCCTCTCTGTAAAATACGTACAATTCACATGTCGCCAAATATTCGAAAAAAAAAATTATTATTTTTTCTTATGAAAACTGTAGGAATATTTTACTAGTGTTTTAAGCCTAAAAAATTTTTTGCCATCAGTACTTACCGAGATATAGAGACACGCCCAAAGTTAGCAGAAATTGACGTTGCGTACACGAGCAACCAGCGGCGGACTGCCCGTCCCACCCGTTATTCTTTGATTTACTCTCTAAATCAAAAGGTTTCTTGCATTTTTCTATATTTTTCTTTTCCGGTAACTTATGTGGCCTGTGAGACCAATGTAGGTGCATTCTCAAATATTTACACTATTATTTACAACACAATAACAGAACAAACTATATCACTTTTAGTTTGTGTATACACTTTGTATACCCACAAACAAACATACAAAACAATGTTTATTACTATTGTTCCATATATATATATACTTATGTATCAGTCACTAATCCACGTTCCTAGAACGGCAGCAGCTTGTGGAAACTCTTTGAAACATGGTATTGCAGGGGCCATTCACACTCCTCACACATTTAAAAACGAGTGTCTCTGCGTGTTTGTGGGCGTTTTGGGTTATGCATACATACATTACACCTCTTCGAGCATTTTTTTGGCAGTAGTGGAGGCAGTTGTATGGGGTAGTGATCAACGGCCTCAACGAGATTGAGTCTGTGGCGCGCTGGTCTATTGCAGGGAGGTGCTCCTTTGTACTTTGCAATTATTTGTACTGATTATGACAGCGAAATTCACATATTTTGGTGTTTTGTTGGGTCTTCAACTTGTATATGTTATAAGCATTTAGCCATAGATATCAACAAGATGGAAAAAAAGATTGATATACACTTATAACTCTTGCGTAACTGTCTGCAAACCCAATCTTGCATGTCACAATTTGTCCACTAATGCGCATATTGAGGTTGTAGTCCATGACAGCTGCAGGCTTTAGAATTGGGTTCATTGGTCTCTCTGTTGTCCCTGCACTGGGTACCATTCGTTTGTGTCCGTCGCACTGATGTCAACCAACCCCCCCCTGTGCACCCACACTTCAGTTATCCGACTGCCACCGAAATCAATGATTGTCATTGGCGCAGCAAAGGCTTGCTCCTCACTCGGCGAGTGCCAGCGTCGAACTTGGCATATGTTTGCGATTACACGCACTGTGCCACACATCGGTCTGTCAAGTTCACTCGCAAGAAAATCAATAGAGAGTAAGGGGCTTGTTGTACCAGTTATCAGTAAATAACATATGGCCCCTTCCAGATATGGGTCCATCATTGTTCGATCCACATCACCAGAGATACCAATAATTCATGGTATCTCTCAAAGTAATACTGCCAGTGTACACAATAATATCTAAAAAAAGTCTCTTCTGCAATCAAATACAAATAGCTTTCTACCAAAAGCGTTTCCTTTGCTGGGTATTTATTGCTTGAATGAGGGTCTTCTTTGAATAATAATAAGGATCATCAATATACAGCTTCCTGAGGGATAAAAATACATGCAGCAGCACTTTTGTTTCAGGTCATAAAACACATTTCTTATCTTATAGAACCTGTGCTCTGTCAGGCCGGTTTTCTGTCTGAAATGTGAACATACGAACAGTAGATCAGGAACGAATTGACACATATATGTCACTAATACCTGGAGAAGAAATCAGGCGATCTGTTGTCCTGTATGTGGTGATCAGTGTGCTTATACAAATTTGGTCTATAAGCATTATTGTGGCAAAAAAACAGGTACATCTCTGCCACTGTTTGTCTCCTTCCTTGACTTGTGTAGCCGTGTTTTTGAGTGAGAGAATTGTATTTGCCATGGTGTATTCACGTATGTGTTGGTTTTCCCTGACAATGATGTCCATCGGGGTTCATCGAAGAATACTCAAAGCAGTCCAGTTCACTGGCATTGTTCCCTAGTGGACTAGATGGCTTTTCAGTCCTCTTTGTGTTTCATCAAAGTCATGGGGGGACTGGGAAACAAATCTCGTCTACGTCCTGCCCAATCCCCGATGCGGTTGTGGTGGGTGTCTGATATTGTACCGTGGTTGTTGGCTATTGTGGGTGTGGCAGCTGTGCAGCGTCGTTGTGGTGATGCAGGTTGTGGCAGTGTGGGGGTAGGGTGAGGCTGGTTGTTCTGCTGAGTCAGCCTCGCGCGTGGATATTTGCGTGGACGGGTGAGATGTGCCAACATGGGCCCGTGCGCCACCCCTCACTTTCACCACCACTGCCTCCTCCTCACTGTCACATTCATACCCATCGTTACCAATATCGTCATCATCACTATAGGTCGTGGTGTTGGGCAGGGATGTGCCCCAGAGTTTCTCCTTCCTTGGGGTAACAACATATGAATACACTACAAGACCGCATCTTTACGTCGTACATACTGGGCTTCACTGGGGGAATATTCATTCTCACTGTCACTAGAACTGCTTTCCAAGACCTTGAATGAAATCC